TTTGGTACATGCTTGTAATCCCAGCTACTTGGAGGCTGAGGTGGGAGGATCACTTGAACCCAGAGCCTGGGTGACAGAGCAAGACTGTCTCAAAAAAAATTTAAAAAGACTGGAAGGCAGTGGCTACTTCAGCTGCCATTTGCACTGCTCCAGAGCCTAGCCAAGGAGGCCACAGCCACAGCCAGGAGCCCAAAACCTGTATCTTGGGCCCACTGGCAGTTGCAGGAGGCAGATAAAGAAGGGTCCCCGGAGAACCTCCGTCCGCCCCACAAATGTTTACAGCAGATATTTTTGGGCAGATGAGGAAACCTGCACAGGGTCTTGCCTAGGTACACCCGCAACAGGCTGGAGACCCATATGCACTGGGGGAATGGGGTGGAGCCACCTGGATTTCGCGTCTATGCAGGGGGAGGAGCCTGGCCTCTTCAGCTCACGTGTGGTGGCCTGGTATTCAATCTGTAAGGCGGGGACCTGTTGGGAGGACCCCCCTTTTTGGCTGAAAGCCTTCTTTTAATGAATTCTGCTCTCCTCACCTTTCAATGTGTCCGTGTGCCTCATATTTCCTGATCATGAGACAAGAACCCGGATTTTAGCCGAGCTAAAAAGCAAAAAATCCCGCATCACCACTACACCCTCCTCAGGTGCCCAAGGATGCACTGAGGTGCAGGTGGTGTCAACTGGCCCTGGCCTGAGAGTGTCAGGGAGGGGCTCATCACCCAAGCCCCTTGCCCAGTGCCCCAGAGGAAATGGATCAACTGGCCAAAGAGGAGCCTGCTGTTGGCACTGTTACCTAGTATTTTCGTGTCATCTTTGGAGGCGCATACCTGTACAAATATTTTGCACTTCAACAAGATGACATATACTACTGTGGAATAAAGTAGATCAAATATGTCATCTTGAGTGAGCCTTCTGAAGACGCCCTAGCCACTTGCCACCCATCAACTGAGAAAAATATTACAATCTATTAAGATCTTGGAGGAAGATGAGATTGAATTCATCACTGTGGATTTGCAGGCAGTGATCCTGCCAGCATTGCTCATGACCTGAACAAGAAGCTCACAGCCTATTCAGTTCTTAGCCTGGACAAGTGCTGGGCGGGCCCTGGGAAGACTTCGATTGCTATGCTGCCCAGATACTGACTGCAGCTGCTTATTAACATCAAGGCTGTTTTGTCCCAATCCTATCTGATTCATGGACACATGGCTATCACTGATGCACTGAAAACATCCAGCCCTGGAGTTTCTTTATACATCACTGCACCATGACAAAGGGAACTGAAAGTTGTCTGAATCAAAATAGAATCACTAATGTGAAGAAAACGCCGACAAATCAGGCCTGGGAAAGCCCTGAAGAGAGGCTTCTTGTGCTTGTATGTCAGATAAAAACAATCCCTAGACTCCGAAACCTGCAACCTTGTATGAAGGCCACTGCGACCATATACAAAAAAATACTCCTACAAGGACATCTGCCCAAATAGCCTGCCTGACCTTGGACTGACATCACTCTTGTGAACTTTGTAACCAGGGACAATTATTAAATATTTCAAAACAATTACATAATCCTCTTCACTTTTCCCTTTGCCTCCCGGAATAAGCCATTTACCATGGCAC